GGTAACATAGAAAAACAAGGAGAGAGAGAAGCAGTGCTGACCACTCTGTCTGCAGAGGCCAGAGAAACAAGCACACCACAAGCGAGGCAGCTAAGACCGCTAAGGGGGTCAGCACAAAAGTACAGACGGGGACACACCCGAGGAGAGAATGATGGAACAAAAACAGAACTAAGGAAAATAAAATTTGTATTTCTTAAGAATCTTCTATGTATCAGGCAGTATGCCCTACTTCACATATTTATCTCATTTTATTCCTCAAAAAATCATCAGTGATAGGTGCTGTTACATATTCTATTATATGGAGAGATGATATTATAGATGAAGAAACTAATAAAGCCTACAGCAAAGGTAACTTGTCCGAGGATACAGAAATGGAAAGCAACAGGGTCAGATTTTGAACCCAGCTCTTTCAGACTCCAAAGTCTATACTCCCCCTCTGGACTCGTGGGTAGGAACATGCTAGCTATGAAGAAAGGAAAAGAAGACTCCCAGGCCACAGAGACTGCCAGGTACAATAGAAAGGAGCAAAGAATAATGCATTAGCAATATCAGAACTTTAAATAGTGGTCTTTTTGTTAAAAAGGCATTAAGTTTCACAAGCTTTGAATAAGGAAAGACTTGAAAAGGTAAAGAGGTAAAAAGAAGGTAAAAAGTTAAGACACAATTTGGTTCGTCATGAATGATTCAGAATTGCAGGAACCCAAATGCTTACTGCAGCTAAAGGTAGGTGATGGGATTCCAGGTGACCTTCCACACTCCGACCCCCAAAATACCTACAACTCCTATGATGAACGAAAATGTCTTTTGTAAAGAGAGAGAAAAGATGTGGTATATTTTGTGTCTGTTAATGTTTTATTTTATTTCAGGACTATTAAGAACTGTCTGGTGGCGCAGAGGTTCTCCAAGAATGAAGTCAGAGGAAACAAGAAGAGATGTGAAGTGACAGAAGAGAGACAAGCCACCTCCACAGACTAAGCAAAACATACCCTTAGACTGTGAAAGGCATCCCTCCTCTTCCCTCTTCCTGAGCTCTCACTCCACAGCCCTTAGGTAGTGCCAAGCGACAAAGGACGTCTAAGGACAGGCTAGGTGTTGAGGAGAGGGGAGACATGTCCAAAACGGCAGTGACATACAAGGAAATTAATCTAGTCAGTAAACAAAATGAGAATAATGACAGCCTAGTCTCTTACTGCCAAAGAAAGAAACGATAGACATGGTAAGGATAAAACTGAGCTGAATCCTCCAGCATTACAATGGAAATGAGATATATTAAACTCATGGATTGTAATATATGTATAAATAAAAACAGAAATAAATATTTAGAAATATATACATAAAGGAAGTATGTACTTAGCTCTGTGCTAAGAGACCTAGAAGCAGTGACACCTCAATAGTAATGATCTCATCTAATGCCCAGATCTTGTTTTCTAAATACTGTTCCTAATTAAAAGAAACCAGGGGTCCTTGTGGAGAGAGCTGATTCCAGGGCTGGCGTACAGATAATACAAGATGAACCAGGAACATCTTTCTTTTTTTTTCTTTTTTGATTAATTTTTATTGGAGTATAGTTGCTATGCAATGTTGTGTTAGTTTCTACTATACAGCAAAATGAATCAGCTATACATATATCTCCTCTTTTTTGATTTCCTTTCCATTTAGGTCACCACAGTGCATTAAGTAGAGTTCCCTGTGCTATACAGCAGGGGTCCCCAACCCCTAAGCCTCTGACTGGTACCGGACCACAGCCTGTTAGGAACCGGGCCACACAGCAGGAGGTGAGTGGTGGGCGGGCGAGCTAAGCTTCACCTGCCGCTGACCATCGCTCGCATTACTGCCGAACCATCCCTCCACCCCACCCCCGGTCCGCGGAAAAATTATCTTCAATGAAACTGGTCCCTGGTGCCAAAAGGTTGGGGACCGCTGCTATATAGTACGTTCTCGTTAGTAATCTATTTTATACATAGTATCAATAGTGTATATGAGGAACATCTTATTTGAAAGTAAGAAAGGATTTAAAGAATGATAGGGACTTTTCCCATCAACAGAAGAATGGATAAAGAAGACAAGGTATAAACACACACACACACAGACACACACACACAGACACACACACAGTGGAATACTAGCCAGCCATTAAAAAGAATGAAATTTTGCCATTTGCAACAACATGGATGGACTTGTAGGGCACTGTGCTAAGTGAAATAAGTCAGAGAAAGAGAAATACTGTATGATATCACTTATATGAGGAATCTAAAAAATACAACAAACTAAACAAACTAGTGAATAAAACAAAAAAGAAGCAGACTCACAGATACAGAGAACAAACTAATGGTTACAACCAGTGGGGAGGGGGGTAAGGGCAATACAGGGGTGGAGGAGTGGGAGGTATAAACTACTGGGTGTAAGACAGGCTCGAGGATATACTGTACATAACATGGGGGATAGAGCCAATATTTTGTAATAACTGTAAATGGAGAGTAACCTTTAAAATTGTAAAAAAAAAAAAAATTTAATTAAATTAAAAAATAAAGGTTTACATTTATGCTAAACTAAAAAAATAATAAATAAAACAAATGACACAGCTTTATACGTACTGATGCAGAGTGACTTCTAATATATACTAAGTGAAAAAATAATGTGTAGAACAAAAAAGAATGATATGAACTTTTCAAAAGGACAGAGAATCAACCTGAAGGGGCTCCTAATGGCCAGTTTGGGAAAATCTAAGCATTAAAACTTATAAGGAGAGTAAATGATTATAACCCACTGAGTAAAAAGGAAATCTATGAATGAGTACGTCTGAGATACACAGACAGATGGATGGGAGGGAGGGATAGGTAGAATACAGGGAGAGAAAGAAAGAAGAGGAAGAAGGAAGTAAATTTCTTGAAAAAAGAATATTCACAAAGGTTCAAAGTAACTCTCAACAAAATGTTTATTAATTACCAGGAGGTAAAGAGTAACTTTACAGTAAAGCTATCTGGCAGACACCAACCTGAACAAGTGATTGACATCAACTGTATTGGTATAAATCAAAACCATGTAGTATCTGATAGGATTCAATGAGAAGAACACTTCTCACAGAACAACACGTTTTCGGTATTCCAAAATGAGAAAACATTATACAGAACAATTGGCCTACATCTTCAAAAATGTCAAAGCCATAAAAGCCCAGAAAAGACTAAGGAACTGTTCCAGACTAAGGGAAGAAGAAAACAAAATGCAATGTGATTCTTCAATGGATCGGTTTCACAAAAGTAACAATACTGGGCAACTGACAAAACCTGAATGGAGTCCAAGGACTGAAAGGTAGAAGTATATCAACATTAACTTCCTGATCTTGATAGTTGTATTGTGGTTAACAAAGGAGAATGTACTTGATTGTAGGCAAAACATACTAAAGTACTCAGGGATGATAAAGCATCGTGTTGGTAACTTAAATTCAACCGTTTCCAGAATAGATAGAAAGTTATCTATTCTATTGGGGGGTGGGGGCAGTTATTTTCCCGGACATTCCCAATCAACTCCATGGGCCCCTTGAAAGCATTTGTCAGTTATCTTAAACACCTGTTATGGTCTATACCACAAAAGAGCCACCTGTGAGGCAAATATTCTCATTCCAGCAGTGGGGAACCTATGACCTGAAGAGAACAGTTCCTTCACACCAACCTAATGTTTTGGCCTAAGCAGCAAAATCAAGACAGTTGTCCGCATTTCCTCTTCAAATAACTTCATTTTCAAACGAAGAAATGCAGATTAAGAGGGAGGATGGAAAACATCTTCTTTTCCATATTAAAAGGCATAGATCTTTACCTTTGGGGTCATAATCACTACTCGTACAAATGCTAAAGATCAACATTCCATTTTCTAAGGAAAACATGATTCTATGTGTAGAAATCTACACCTATGGAAAAATCACGTTAGAGCGGAAGATTCCTTCTTAAACTTTTCAGAGCAGAATATTAACTTTTGCTTTCTCGTATCTAACGTTAACCAACACACAAAGGGCCTGCAATCACTAGATAAACTGACACTAAGATATAATAGAGCCGAAGAGTCATTAATGCTTTATGGCCTGAACATGTGTGCATCTCCTGCCATCTATTCTTAAGCCGTACAGAATCTTTTCCTTAATTTGTAGCAGATAAATGTCTCATCAACTGTTCAGAAGCTAAGAATTCAGATTGTGATAATTTTCCATTAGAGGGAATTAAAGTCCAAGTGAGTAAGAAGAGGCAGCAAATGCACTGCCTTTCCTTTAGCCTTGATTCCTGGGATCCAGTCTACACAGAGTATGGGGTCTGGATCAAACTGTTTTCAATACTCATCACACAACATGCTTGCCTTCTAGGAGTTTAGCTATATGCTCTTGGGCTTCACGAAACATCAATACAAGAATACTCCACTTGAATAACTTGTATGTATCCGTGAAATCATAGCTGAAAACATAATCCACTACGTCACAATGGCAGAACCCACAAACTGTCTTTCTCGTTGAGTACAATGCCAGGAAACAAATGGACCGACTTTCACTCCACACACAATGAATACTATGTAACTCAGTGCTGCGCAGAGAAAGGAACAGTTCCTTATTAGTCTTAGCAGCCCAGAAGCTCAAATCCAATGCAGAGAACAGCAGTTTAACTGGCTCCTCCCGTAGGGCCTTCGTACCCTCTACTTTCTGTGCTCTTCTCTTCGCAGATGGTTTACTCTGTGTTTATCTTTAATAGTCCTGCTTTATACCACCTTTTTAATCCTACCAGCAGATTTAGATCCTCTTGAAAGTACTCAGCATATGTACGCACACATGTATTTATTTTCTTTCCCTTACAAATTTTCCTCCTGATATCTCTTATATTTTCAGGTAGCATTCTACTCTTAATGATCTAGAAGTTTTCAACGATACGGACAGCAAGAGGCTAACTTAACAATGACCAGGGAGCTGGCATCACCAAGCCCCCGTGCTCTGCCGGCGGGCGCGTGGCGCGCGGGCTCGTCACCTTTGCAGTAGTCTGCGGGGTCCTCCTGCTCCTCATCGTCTGACCCCAGGATCTCCTCCTCTGGCTCCGGGGGCGCAGGGTCTGCCAGAGGCGGCGGTGGTGGAGGGGGCGGGGGTGGAGGAACCAAGGGAGCTTTCTGCTGAGGCTCCGGCCTGAAACAGAGGAAGGACAATTCCTGTTTACTCAGAAGTAAATCCTGCATTATGAATACACTTGAGAGTTTCTTAATATGGGAAAAAATAAAACTTGTCACACACTAAGAAGAGATGCTGATTAACGTCACTTCAGCCACTTTAGCTGAATTCAAGTACTGCTTCAAAACACAAGTGGGGGGCGGGGGGGTGACTACCCTTATTAACCAAGGAATATTTCTGCAGGCCCGTTTTCACTCCAAGCGTCATTATTTCTTAAGTCTTGATAATATTATGAATTGTAAGTGAAAAAGAGTTATCCTCTCATGATACACAGCCTTAGTAGTTAGAACACATCCCCCAGAGATTAGAAAAAGACAGAGAAAAGCAACCCTAGACTTTAAAAAAAGGGCTTATTTTCCATCATTTTAAAATCAGAATTCCTTTCCCCATAGAAACAGCAGGAATGTGGTTAGGTTTCCTGGATAACTCATAAAAGCCAACTAATGTATACTGTAATGTACACCTTGCTTAGCAAGACAAGAACACTGTCCCAAACTGGAAATTAAACAAAGAAAACATCCACTGCAGTCGAATACAAATACCATCCATACATCAATGCAAGACTTCCAATGGTTATTTCTAATTGTTACAAAAAGGCTAAATGTTTAGTACACTCTTTTACAAAAGACAGGAAAACCTATAATACTAAAAACAAATAAACAACTTAAGAGGTTACAGATGTAAATCTTTCAGATATCTAGAATAACTCAGGATATATTAAATACATTTGCTTAGAAGTAAAGCATTCATAATGCAATTCTGTAAAATCAAGCTTTCACTTATAAAATGTAACTGCTCCTTCTAGCCATATCCCAATGGGGAATCTTGAACCAACAGTCTCAACTGGATGCAGAACCTCTCTTGAGCTGCAAGCTGCCCTAACAACAGGACCACCACTGCTCTCCCTGAGCTGGCCACAGCTCTACAGATAAAAAGTGGGGAGGGAAAAGATACCGAGTGGTAGGGGCAAGGGGGTTCGGCTGATGGACTGTTCCCCAGAGGCAGTTTCAGTGGGATGAACAGAGGGCCTCTAGTCTGGGGAGCAAGGGGAACCTCACAGACACTGATGTGGTAGATAATCGCCATTTTTTTGGCCTGCCCAGTACTGATGCTCCCTTTCTAAAAGCACGTTTTGGAACACTGCTACTCCCTGCACAATGAAAGGCTGGCTCCAGTCCTCTCTCCTCATTGTGGTACAGCCTAGGGCACAGAGCCGTGGAACCTTGCTTGAGAAGGTCAGCCATCACAGGGTGCAAACTCATCCTAGCTGCTAGTAAAAGGCAGGGTCAAAGGACTTGCCCCTTTCTAAGCTGAACCTCTAAATTCTTGCCAAATCTAGGAGCCCCCAAATAGCCTTTAGCACACTGCCTTCAGCCTAAGGTAGTTACAGCTCATTTATGTGGGTTGCCACCAAAAACTCCAAGTGCCACAGCAAACGAAGGAAGGCAGTAGAAACACCAGCAGTCATGAGGATGGGGTGGGGATCACATCTCACAGGTAACCTTAAAGGTCAACCCTGGCAAGTATGATTACCTTTGGCAGGACAACTAAAGAATGTTTATAGTCTGAAAATGACTTGTACTGATTTCTACTTGCTACAATTTATGGAGACTCAAAGTTACAGCTCCTTAGGTAACAGACATTAGGACAATGGTGGTGATAACATTCTCAATTAACCATGCCTCATGATGGAGTACTGAAAGGGAGTCATCACAACCAAAGACCAACACCACTGCCAGGACCTCCAAAGAAATCCCAAGAGACCTTATGCAAAAAGAGGCCTGAGGAAGGGGAGGTAGGAGAGGAACTGCACCAGTTTCAATGCTTCCCCAAAGGGAAGAGGTTAGAGAAAAGATTTACATGACCCATTCTTGGGGGTGGAATCTATCTATTTGACAAATTTGCTCAACCAAAAATACTTTCAATGTTGACTATTTCTTCCTAAGAAATTTTATATGAAAAAATAAAGAGATTCTCTAAATTAAAAAAAAAAACAAAAAACAAAAAACAACACCACATATTCCCTGTGGAGACTATGTAACAACTAATGAAAAGGGAAGGACTAGAAGATCTTGTTCCACTGCTGCAGGGTGCTGCTACGATCGACACCACTGATACTTGGGCCAGGAAACTCACAGCTGTGGGTGCTGTTTTGTACACTGGAGAACGCTGTCAGCCTGGCCTCCAGCCACTACATGTCAGTTGTGATCATCACATGTCCAGAGACAAAGCAACCTAAATGTCCATCAACAGAGGAATGGATAAAGAAGATGTGGTACGTATATACAATGGAATATTACTCAGCCATAAAAAAGAATGAAGTAATGCCATTTGCAGCAACATGGGTGGACCTAGAGATTCTCATACTAAGTGAAGTAAGTCAGACAGAGAAAGACAAATACATGATATCGTTTATATGTGGAATCTAAAAAAAAACAGGGTACAAATGAACTTATTTACAAAATAGAAGTAGACTCACAAATGTAGAAAACAAACTTATGGTTACCAGGGGATGAGCGGGGTGGGGGATAAATCGGGAGACTGGGATTGACAATATACATACTACTATATATAAAATAGATAACTAATAAGGACCTGCTGTATAGCACAGGGAACTCTACTCAATACTCTGTAATGGCCTACATGGGACAAGAATCTTAAAAAAAACCAACACTGGATATATGTATATGTATAAATGATTCACTCTGCTGTACACCTGAAACTAACACAACATTGTAAATCAACTATACTCCAATAAAAAATTTTTTAATCATCACCAAAAAAAACCTATGTCCAGACACTGACAAATGGGTGGGGAGGAAGGGGAGGGAGGGAGGGGAGGGGAGTGGTGGCAAAATGATGCCCATGTGAGCACCACTTCATCGGTGGCATTTGCTACATATACCTTTACCTCAATGGAATAGACTGTATCTATGATAAGGGAGAAGAGATTCTAATTTTCACATGCCCATTTTCTCTAGTTTGAGAGGCTTGGGTATCTTTATCATAATGTATGTCTCTTGGTGAGCTGCCACGTCACTTGCTTAACAAAATTCTCAGACCCTCTGGGGTCAGGGAGGGCCATGCTGAACAGGCAGGCAGATAGTTCCCGCAAAGCCAGTTCTATCAAGATAAAGGGATGAGTCAGGGTACCTTGAAATACAGAGGAAGTTGAGTAATGTTGATGTAATATCTTGACTGGCTATCATATCAAAACACCTAGAACTCTGCTATCCTCTGGCCCCATGTGAGTGCTGAGCACTGAAAATGTACCTTGTCCTTATTGAGATGTGTTCTAAGTGTAAAATACGTACTGAATTGCCAAGATTTGGTACAAAAAAATGTAAAGTATTTTATTAATAATTTTATATTGGGGCTTCCCTGGTGGCACAGTGATTGGTAGTCCGCCTGCCGATACAGGGGACACGGGTTCGTGCCCCGGTCCGGGAAGATCCCACATGCCGTGAAGCGGCTGGGCCCGTGAGCCATGGCCGCTGAGCCTGCGCGTCCGCAGCCTGTGCTCCGCAACGGGAGAGGCCACAACAGTGAGAGGCCCACGTACTGGAAAAACAACAACAACATATATATATATGATAATTTCATATTTATTACATGTTAAAATAATAATGTTTTGGATATAATAAATTATTAAAATTAAATTCATCTTTTTTTTTTAAATGTGGCTACTAGAACACTTTAAATTACAAATTAGGCTCACATTACATTTCTATTAGATGGCATCACTCTAGACCCTCAGGTTCAACAATAGCAGAGGACTGTCTTGGCAGAGATTCCTGGTCATATCAGTGAATATTTTTTTCTGAGGCTTCTCCCAGTAACCTGCTTCACACCAATTATCACCAACTCTCAAATTACCCAGTTCATCATAGTAAGATAAGTACACTGTAACTACCAAATGTTACAGTCCAATCACTGACTCCTTTTCATCCCATCCAGCCTTGTTACTGCCTACTGCACAGGAAAAACACAGTAAATTTGTCTTAGGGCAGACGGACGTAAGAGAGAATGATGCCACACTGTCTTTAAAGGCTGCCTTCTTCAAACTGGTCTCTGGTGGCTTCTACAGCACCTCAAAGCCTGGTTAAATCTCAACTGTTTAAAAGATCAAGAGGTGATCTCACCAAGTGTATACTCATGAAATACATCAAGCGATTAAAAAAAAAAAAGACAACTTTCACTAATCCTATTGAAAACCATCAAGAAGTTATTTCAAAAGACAAACCAAAAAAGTTATTACATATAAGAATTAATAGGGAGTTCCCTGGTGGTCCAGTGGTTAGGACTTGGCGCTGTCACTGCCGTGGCCTGGGTTCAATCCCTGGTCAGGGAACTAAGATCCAGCAAGCCATGCGGCATGGCCAGAAAAAAAAAAAAAAAAGAATTACTAGAAGCACATAAGCCGTGGGGGGGAAAACTCATAAATATTTTCAACAACAATGCCAACACTACTAAATGGTGAAAGAATAGTCTTTCAACAAATGTAACTGGGACAAATGGCTATCTGCATACAAAAAAATGTTGTAACCCTACCTCACATAAATACATAAATATTAACTCAAAATTAATAACTTGGGACTTCCCTTGGTGGTCCAGTGGTTAAGACTTCACACTCCCAAGGCAGGGGCCCAGGTTCGATCCCTGGTCAGGGAACTAGATCCCACATGCATGTCGCAACTAAAAGATCCCGCATGCCACAACTAAAAGATCCCGCGTGACGCAACTAAGACCCGGTGCAGCCAAATAAATAAATTAAAATATTTAAAAAAAAAAATAATAGGGCTTCCCTGGTGGCGCAGTGCTTGAGAGTCCGCCTGACGATGCAGGGGACACGGGTTTGTGCCCTGGTCCGGAAAGATCCCACATGCCGCAGAGCGGCTACACCCGTGAGCCAAGGCCACTGAGCCTGCGTGTCCGGAGCCTGTGCTCCACAACGGGAG